ACAGATATGGTCTAGACAAGATGGATATGCTATTTATGGGTGATGCATCTGTCCAGCTCTGCCTTTCCTGGGGGTCTGAACTTGCCCTAAAGAAGCAGATTCACAATTTGGGGATGCTCCTAGATCTATCCCTGTGACTTGAGGCCTTCATATCATGGAGTGCCTTTTATCAGCTTTGATTGATTTATTAACTGTGATCTTATTGGACAGAAAGAGCTTTGTAACAGTAATTCAAAGCCTGGTAATTTCCTAGTTGGATTATTGAATATGTTGTACATAGGCTGCCTCTGAAAATGATCTGCAAACTTCATTTAGTTCAAAATAAAACAGTTACCAATAGAGGAGAATATTTGTAGCTCACAGTTGAAATGAGTCCTTGATGCTCTCTGAGCTTGGTTCAAACTCATAAAGTAGCTAGACTGCTTAGTGGGATTGGCTGATGGGAATTTAGTGATGCTAGTTCTTTGTGATTTACATTGATTGCCAATCCATAGCCAGGTTTTTAGGGCCTTACAAAAATCTGTTGGAGCCAGGGCCTTTTTTTCTCTTAGAACGCCCAGAACGGAGTTCCGGCACCTTTTTTGGATGGAACCTTGTAGGGTAGGCAAGGCAGGTTGTATGACGTGTGTGAGTGCACCTTTTTTTTTTTTTTAAAGCACTGGTTGGAGCCATTCTAATCTCAAAAGGCATGATGTTCCATAAAGCAGGGGCCACTGTAGAAAAAGTCCATCTTCTAGTCCCCGCCAGCCAACACTCTTTGGCTGATGGGATCTGGATATTAGTTTTTGAATAATAGCTGTCTAATTTATGTAATGTTTATAGTTTATTTTATGTTTTTATTTAAATTGCATTTTAGTGTGTTTTATTATACATTTCCCAGAGAGATCCAGCTATTGGCTGGTTCATACATAATAAAGAGTGAAAAAATTTAAAATTAAAATATATAACCATTTTTTTGCAAAACACTTTGGAATTCTTTTACTAATTCATTTTTAAATTTAAATTGGCTCCTCAAAGCACTTCAGTCCCCCCCCATTTTTAAATTTCCCATACAAAGGTGCAATATTTATGTAAATACCATATTTGAAATATAAATTTTTGGATTGCAATTTAGAAAATGTATAATATTCATAATCCTAATTATGGATGTTCCTATATATTATGTAGTTGTCCTTAAGGAGACTTTGGTTCCTATAGATACATGCAATACTATGGTTATTTTTCTCACCATTGTAATAAATGTATTGCTTGCTCCCTCTTTTTAGGACCCTTTAAGGATAGTTTGATTGATTGCCACAGAGTGGGTTTGCATAATACACAAGGTTATTATATATTTGCCTAGTTTGTAAATCATGGTGTACATGAAACAAATTACAGTAGCAGGATTCATCTATGTTTCAGTATGGTGTACAAATCTGGGCACTTGGGTAAGTCAGTAAATCATTGTTCATTGATTTATGAGTAAGTGTGTTATGCAAATATGGCGTCAGTATTATTCATTCAAATCAAGGTTCACCTCTTAGAAATCTATGACTTACTCTCTTTTTCCTGTAACCTCTTCTGCTAATTGTATTTTGCATTCTCCCTCCACTCTCAAATGTTTTGAACCTTTGTTCATTCATTCTGTAACTCTTAAGTGTTGTTTCTGTTTATGTGGGGACGGAGAAAGCAGGTTGGTTTTGAAGAGATATTCATGTGTCTCCAAAATTAGAATTGATGGAAAAGAACAGAACATCTTTATTGTGTTCACTGACCAGAATTGTACATACTTTTGTAATAATGTTTGCAGAGCTCAAATGGAAATAAATGAAAACTTCTGATTAAATTAGGAGAAACTAAAATTTAGGAATAAAGTGTAAGAAATAAAGTAGTAAAAATGTACGTAAGTGTTGTAATCACTAAATCATAATATTACTTTACCAAGATAAAGGCAAAACCCAAAATATACTGTGTTATTGTTTTACATTGGAATACACTTTTCTTTTATATCTTGGTAAATAATATAAAATAATATAAAAAATGTCGGAAGAAATGAAATGTAAGGTGAAATTAAATACAGGTGATGAATTTCATGATAACATTAGCAGTACAGGAACACATGACCTGTAGTTTCGACTGGTCCGGAATGGCAGGGACAAAACCTCTCTTTGAAGTGAATTTGTTGATATCTTCCTTTCAATGAGAGGATGAAAATAGTGTTGAAATACGCTGGTGTAAACAAGTTTATTTAGGAGGGACATTGATGTTCATACTCTCAGGAGAAGGGAAGCTCCGAGCATTCTCTCTCTGCAAATCAGTATGTTAATTGCTTTTGGGCAACTTTTTTATCTTTAGGGAAACCCAAATAATTCAGGCCTGTTTTAGTTGGATCATTATTTTATAATTTTGCTTCCAATGTCATTTTCCAAACTGAGTGAAAATGAACTAACAATGTGAAGGCAATCTTGCTGTGATATTTGCCACCTTATTGATAATCAGGGTTCATTCAGCTTTTAGTGGAAAACTTGTTACTAATGTCTCAGCACTTTAAGTGGGTGCTTCTACTTGCTTCTTAGCAGTTCATCCATTCTGCTCTGAATTTCACATAATTTTAAATGAATTATATTTTTGTTATTGATGAATAATATTTTAGACAAAAAATGATATTCTTGCCTATTGATTTCCACCACAAAAAGCCTCCTTCCTCTAAGTCAGGGGTTCCCAATCCCCGGGCCTCAGACCACTACTGGGCTGCGTGCAAGTGGCAGGCAAGTATGCAAAGCTTCATTTGCGCATGTGCGGGATTAGGTTGAGCATGTGAACCCATCCCTTCACCCACCCAACCCCGCCGCTGGTCCGTGCAGCCAAAAAGGTTGGAGACCACTGCTCTAAGTCTTTACCAGTAAGTATATTTTTGGGAACATAGTTAAGGTAACACATAGATTTGCTTTCAGATAAGATAATTAATGCAGTAAAATGTAGGAATGGGGAACTGTGCATGGTGTAATGGTATCGAGCTATGACATAATGAAAAAGCTGGATGCTGTTAGTTGAGCAATATTGAGGTGTCTATTAGTTTCATACAAAGACCAAGAAAATATTCCTGAGCCAGAAATTTCCTGAGTGATGATGCCTCCCCTCTTTAAATAAGCAGTTTGAATGGCTGCAAGCATACAAACATATACTCCTTTCAGCTTAGAGAAAAGGTATACAGTACATGGGCTCAAGATTTCCAGTTAATACTTCTGATCAGGAGGATTTCTACAACCAGATGTTTCCCGAATAAAAATCCCCAGGACCTGAAGATAGTGTTAATTAGGAATAGGGATCTATAAAGCCATTGGTGCATGAACCATTCTTTACACATAGCAACTGAGTTTTAGGTGGTTTGTTTTCTGACCCGAAACATTTGTATTCAGCCCAGATTACCAAAATGGGCTGTTTTGTCCTGAATTATAGATTGAAAACAGAAAAGCAGCAAAAATTGAAGGACATTGGTGGAGGGAGAGGAGGGGGGAGGAGATGCGACAGAGGGGAAAAACATTAGGGAGATCAAAGGGGGCCAGCTGGCCAGCGGGCTATCACCCTGGGGAGGTTGATGTGTGGAGAGAAGTGATGATGTACCCCAGTTTTGCCTTGTATTCTCTGCAGAATCTCCAGGCTCTATGCAGATTTCGTATTGGATGGATCATCTAAAACGGTGATCATTCAGAGAAATGATTCCCCCCCCCTCCCAGTTGAACCAAATATACAATGTACTGTATTTTCTGAGGGGGGTTTTATACTCCCTATTGGAAGCATTTTCCTGATGTCCAGCTAGGTGGCAGTATATAGCTATCCTGGAGTGATCTCAGAAAAATAGGTTTGGATACATCTAGTACTTGGATGAAAGAATCCCAGGGCTACAGCACCTTGCTTTGTGGGACTCAATGGGGTATCTCAAAGGGATAGCAGGGCTCTATGTAAAGTTGGAAGTCAAAACTACAAGGCAGTGGCAAGCAAATTCCATGCTATTAGCAGGAAAACCTCAGGCTTGGTCCATGTGGTCATTAGGAGCCAAGATTGATGCGGAAAAAAATCTTTCCCCCCCATCTAAATAATAAAAAGTTATTACTAAATTAATAAACAACATTGGGTGCAAAAAATCTTGAATGGCATTTGCAAAATCTGTGCATTGACAAAATTTCCATCTGTAAATTACAAAAAGCCACACTGCTTGGATCCTACACCAATTCATTACAAGTTCCTAGGTTCTTGGGAAGAAGAACTTGATGCATATGAAAGCCAACACCAGGTAAAGAACTAGCAGCTGTGATTTCACATTGCTGTGTGTAATAATATTAATTGAACTTTTCCTCCACCTGAATCTCTTCCCAACTCTAAATTACTTCTGAAGTGTCTTTTAAATAATGCTGTAGATTTATTTCTAAGAGGGTGCAGTAGATGTGTCTGCAAAGTTGATATGTACAAAAGCAACTTGTATGCAAGAAAAACCGGAGAACAGAAAGTTTTGCAGCCTGAGCTTAAAGGGCTCTCTAGGCTTACTATCTAGCACTTCTTGTCTCCATGGTTACAAAACAGAAGATCATGGGAAGGAAATCACCCTACCCCCCCATTTCCCCCACTATGCAGTGATGTCACCAATAGCCAATCCTGCCACTACAGCTGTTTCATAACAGCAAACACTAGAATCTTCTTGGCAGGAGCTGCCAAGAAAACATGCTGGGCCTTTGCTTGAGTAGGCTCATGCTGTTGGCTGTTTGAGCAGGAAAGGGAGGATGAGTGTTTTCAGCAATGGAAAATGTCACCAAGCTTTCTAAGAGGAGAGTTTAACTGAACCCACTCACTTCCTGTGTACATTAGTGGGGAAAGTATCACAGCCCACTCTGGGCAGTAAACTCATTCTGGGAAACTAATCAACTGTGTCATCCATTTCATGCTCTCTTCTTGTTTTTTGTAAGCTATTCTAGGAGGAATGGGACTTGAACGGATGGCCAGACTGGCAAAACGAGTGAATAAATAATGGAAAACAAAGCATTTGTAGCAGTGGCAGGCGTTTGGCAGCGGTGCAGAGAGCAAGGCTCAAGACTTTGAAAAAGACAGCTATGAAGTCAGAAGACGACAAGCCATTCTTGCATGTGACTGGAGGCCTGTTGCTTTGCATACTAGCGGTGGCTTCAGGAATTTTTGATGGCGCTCGCATAGATACTGGCTACGAGCATTATGCTGAACCAACTGTGCCTGGAATGCCAGCTTTCCTAGCTATGCCAGCAAATTGCTTAATCAATTTGGCCTACATACTTCTGGGTTGGTATTGGTGGCCACCAGGTGACAAGAGTAGGCAGACCTACTTTCAAGAGATCTTTGCCCTCATGGCGCTTTTATATGGGCCTACACAATGGGTCCGGCTGTGGACACAACATCACTGGGCAGCTGTGCTAGATCAGTGGTTAACGCTACCAATTTTTGCTTGGGTCATTGTTTGGTGCCTTTTTCTTGAAGATGGGTGGCAACCATATGTTTTTCTAGCCATAGAAGTGACTTCACTGACTAGTTATGTTTTGGCATTGCTTCACCCACAAGGTTTTGAGTTGGCATTGAGTGGACATATAATTGCTGTTTTTTGGAGAGTACTGAAAATGCAAAGACATTTTGGCAATGCCAGTTCCATCTGGATTATAGTTCTGGGGACGATGTGTTGCTTGGGTTTTGTAAGCCTCAAGGTGTGGGATCGGGAACTGGCCCAGTGGGCACTCTTCTCTCGGCTCACTGGTCATTTTTGGTCCAAGATATGCGATGTGTTGCAGTTCCATTGTGCTTTTCTCTTTCTTACCTTAATGAGCAGACATCGACTATGCTCAGTGAAATAATCTATAATTTCAATGAACAATCTTAATCAAAGGAGAAACTTATAACAGTACAAGAACATAATGTGGTTTGAAAGAAAAAGTCTGCTCAAATATGCCAGTTTCTTCAAAAGGCTACTGAAGATAGTTGGTGAATCTACACAGTATCACTCAGTTCATTTCCCGTTGAATATAATGCTGTTTTATAAAACCACATGGGAGAGAGAAAAAAATTGCTGGTTTATACAGTTAGTCTTCAACTTACAACCAATTGTTTAGTGACTGTTTGAAGTTAACAGAACTGAAAAAAGTGATTTACAACCAGTCCTTACACTTAACAACTGTTGCAGCATTGCCATGGTCATGTGATTAGAACTCACGTGCTTGGCAACCCAAATGTATTTATGACAGTTGCAGTGTCCCACGGTCATGTGATCACCTTTTGCGACCTTCCAGCTGGCTTCTGACAAGCAAAATCAATGGGGAAGATGGATTTGCTTAACAACCATGAGATTCCTTTAATAATAAGAATTAATAATAATACAGTTAACAACTGGGGCAAAAAAGATTGTAAAATCATGTACGACTTGCTTAACAATTGCCTTGCTTAGCAACAGAAATTCTGGTCAAATTGTGGTTCAGCCAATTGAAGTTTCTGATGGAACACTAGGAAATGACATTTCCAAGAGGCAGTTATCTGCCTACAGTTTTTACATGGCAGTTCGGTCATGGCTAAACCTGTAGGAGGTTGTTGACAATTCACTACAAACACACTTAAGGTATAGGATCAGAACCTTTGAAGCACAACTTGTTACAGAGTGGCAGATGTTTTTCAGTATCATTTTAAAGGTGGGCTGGAGCAGATGCACACTTTGGAAGTGCCTTGCCATACTTTGTCACTGATGAGTCAAATAGTAATAAGGTAATATATGCATATTTTGCAAAGGAAGATTCAACCCTTGGAATCACTAGGCCCAAGTGGAGAAAGATTCCTGTCTCTATCTAAGAGAACTGCTCCAGACTATGATTTAAACGAAAGGGATTAACAGTCATTTGATGAAGTCATTTTCCTTTTCTTCTGAATAGCTGCCTTTGCAAGGTCACTGTACCCCAGTTGTTTTCTTCCTTAAGGCCTGTGCAAACAGTGATGTCCTGAGCCCACTGTAAGTTGGCTACAGGAAAATATACTTTTGATTTTATCTAGCAGCTTAGTTTAAGGTACATAGCGCTTCCTCTTCTATCCCATTCCATCATCGGTTTGGGCTGAGACAGGCTGGCCAAAGTCACACATTGAGCTTCCACAGCTAAGGATGAATTTGAACTTTCATCTCCTTCATCCTTTGTCCAAAGTTTTAGCCTTTTCCTACTACAACTTCTCCCTTCACAGTGATGCAATGTAATTATTCAGCATTATTAATATCTAGAATAGTTCAGTTTTGAATAGAAACTTCTTACTGTGATGTTGAACAACATCCCTAAAACACAATCTGTCATGGCTCTATCACAACTGCAGCACAGCCAAAAAAAAATAAAAAATCATTGCAATGGACAAAATTTATCAACCTGACATTATGTAGATTTTTTCTTTCTATTTTTTTTCTTTCCATTTTATCTTAGTTATAATCACTGTATCCAAATTTGCGGTTTTTAAATTTTTCCCTTTCACTGTATAGCACTACTTTTCCCCCTCTTAATTTTGTGGGTTTTTTGTATTAAATAAGAACAATAATAAAACAACCTACCACTCTGATAACCATCTGGTTGAATAATCAGTAATCCACTTCCATATGGTTTTACAGCTGTTTCTTGTAGTGAAAATATGGAGATGACACAAAAGAAAGCAGATGTTCTCGTCTTTCTGAAAACCCTGATAAGACGACGTTTCTGCTTTCTAAGTTTCCTCCTTCCACAGGAGGTAGTCTTGTTTATAAAGTAAACATCTACGCCTTGCGAACATCTATAAACTAAATGATACAACTTACAAATATATAAAATGTTTTATTATCTATTCAGTAAAAGGGAGCATGTAGTGAGGAATTTGTATAACCATGAAAACCCACATCATCACCACTCCCACCCCACCAGTTTTGATCTCCATTCATAACCCCAGTGGTGACTTCCATTTATGTCAGATTGCTGGCCTGAAGCCAAATTGTGCCAGAAACACGTACCACACTGGTACCAACTAAGGGAACAGGCATGGTATCCAAAGGAGGATAGCATGACCCTACAGTTTGCAAAGTGCTGTCAGCGCGATGAGAACTTTGATCCTGTGTTTGTTGAATTTGTCACTCAAATTCATCACTCTCTTCAGGTTCACGAGGTGGCTCACCAACACGGTCTGAAGGGGAGAAAGAAAAACTCAGGTTTCAACCGCTCATAATTTTTTTTCCGACTGCTCTTTAAGGCACTGATCTCAGCTAACAGTTTTGTCACCTGTCCCAAAACTGGAACTCATAAATAGCACAATAGGATCACAAATCTGCCTGAGTTGTCTTCAGTCCATCTTTCCCAAAGCCGCTCCAAGTCTAGTATCCTCTAGCTGTGATTGAGAGTTAAAATCTAATGCATTGGCAAATACCACGTTGGGAAAGAGTGGCCTAAAGACCAGATGCTGCAATGTGTCAAAGAGCTCAAAGGGCTTGGATTTAGTTTCTCGGATGATTTTGTGCTATATTGGATAAAGACAGACATCCTCCAAAAATAATGACGTCCCGTGTTTATTTATTTACTTAAAACATTTCTACCCAAGGAAGTCTGAACAGAAATAAAACATAACTAAACTATACAAATTCAATTCAAAAGAAACTGGCTCAAAGCCCCTCAAAATTACATTAACAGCTCATCAAACAAACTCACCCCCATCCCAGAACACCATCCATATCCCAGCTTTAGTGCCTAGATGAAGAGCCAAAGTCTTCCAAAAGGCCAATAGGCTCGTTTAAGCTAAGGAGGTCAGGAAATGCAGCAATACATAATACACCACATAAGCCAGGTAGTCGAGGTCAGAGTAAAATGGCAGGCCTGCTGCTTCCCCCCCCCTTTCCGCCTTGTGGAATGCCTCACATCTGCACTGTTAACATGGCCTTTATTTCAAGGATCAGCAATATCAGAAGTGAAGGAAGTGTTTCAACCTGGGCATCTGTTGATGAATTTATTTTTTTCTCAAGATTTTTTTTTCCTCAGTTCATTTGGGATTAGGGAAAATTAAATCTGAAAAAACAAAGTAGCGAGACTCCAAATTTCTCCGATCATGACTGTTATGGCTGCACTGTGGGCATTAGTGAAATGGCAAGCTTGACTGTAAATAGGGGAAAAAACGGGCAAGAAGAATTGACTTTACGAAGTACTTTGCACAAACAGGAGATCAGGTGGTAAATCACCTGTACTGTACCACTCTGGAGTATATGGTCAGAATGCACATGATTAAACATTCCTTCATATTCACTACCATGGCTACGCTCGGGATATATACAGTCTATTTCCTCTTTGTGTTGAGGAAAAAGAAGGGGACAATTAGCTTCCATCCCAATTTTTTAGGTGAAGGGATTTTTTTCAGGGAACTAAAACATTCTGTCCTGTACTTTGGAGAAGGCAAAAGGTTTGCTACATTGCCTGTTTTACCAAAACTAGGAAGAATCCCGGCTGGACAGCAGAAAGTATTAGCCTTTGGGTCTACAAATGCTGTGGCAAAATCTGAAGAGCTCAAACTTCTTATTTCACAGCATAGAATCAGAAGTTGTCTAACAATAGTTTGGGAAGAACTGTGGATGGCCGGGAAGGAAGTACTGTATATGTTTTAATAGGGTTCTGAACCAGTTTCTCTGAGGGCAAAAAAGAGACCAAAGATAGCTTCTCAGTAAATCAATTTTACAGAAAGGGTTTTTTTTAACTTTCCTCCTCTACCACTGTTTTCAAATTTTACCTTATCATTATAATCATTTTCAATAATCATTTTCAATAATCATTTTCAAATACCCAGCCATTCAAGATCTCTCCTGCACAGCCTGAGAATCTTTCTTCCAACTCCTTTTCCTACCGCAAATGCCCTGTTTTTGACCCCGCTTGGTCTGTTTAAATAGCCTTGACATTCTGCTGTATAAGTAAAACCAGATTCTACAAATTAGGTAAGGAAATAAATTTGACTTCAGATCCGTTTTCTTTCTGTTTGAATCTTTTGCAAAACTTGAGATTTAAGTTCAGAAATTTCTGACAAGGCATAATCCAGCAACTGAGAATGAACAAAATGAATAGATCCTAACTATTAAACAAGGTTTTAAACTCTCTCAATTCTCATGTGGGCTATGAATTTCCAGTATTCAACCTGAAAATACAGATGTCAGGACAGAGATTAAAATGCAGCCATTGCTTCTACAGGGGCTTTATATATTTGAACTAAACAACTTGTGCACAGCAAGTCAGGAATGTCACACCTGTTGCTCCTATGGCTTTCCTACATGAAAAAAGGCTTATTTGTCCAAACGTATCTGCAATGTATAAGGTCACGGCATTTAAAGCATATCAACCATCATGATGTGTTCCATTCAGATTTGTCTATGCCACCTTCAGACAAAAGTAATCTTGCTCTTGTTATCACATGTTTTCATCTATTGATCTTAAAGCCTACTTAATATTTTTGACTCTGACATGAAAATAAGAGAGGATAGTTTTTGATACCTCTCTACCGAGCACGCTGATTGATGAGGTGGAACTGAACAATGGTGATTGGAACTGAACTGCCCTTCTTGAAATTTCACTCCCTAATTGAACAGAACCAGTTTGGAGATTGAATATTCCCCCCTCCAAATGCACAGCATTGCAGAGATGGGGCTGTTACCTTCTCCTGAAGGTGTAGAAGCAAGCACACCCAGGCTGTCAAGCGCCCCCTCGTGATAGAGTGCCAGCCGTTCCATCATGCGCCTCCGTGCTGGGTTGATGACAATCTGAGGGGCAGAGTCACCTGCAGAAAGAAAGGAGACCATCACTAAGTGACAGCCTACCGGGCTCATCAAACTCTTAACAGAAGACCTGGATTAGTGTCTACCTCTTGAAGTAAACCAAATAGGAATCACAACTAGATGAGCTAATTCTTCTTTATTGTAAAGCTATACCGACAGAATCTTGCAAGTATGAAAACCACAGTCCTCTCCCCCACCCCCCGTCTCCTTTACAGCCAGAGAAACAAAAGAGGGTCTCTTCTAAGCCTCTTGCCACATCCACTATCCAAC